CCCAGGCGGGTCTCGAACCCGCGGGCTCAGGCAATCCACTGACCTCGGCCTCCCAAGGTGCGGGATTACAGGCTGAGCCACCAAGCCCAGCTAAATTGACTATTATTTAAAACTCAAAAAACAATAGATGTTGGCAAGGTTGTGGAGAAAAGGGGACACTCATACACTCTTGGTGAGATTGGAAGGTAGTTCAACTCCTTTGGAAAGCGATTTGGAGATTTCTCAAAGAGCTAAAAATAGATTTACCATTCAACCCAGCAATCCCGCTGCTGGGTATATACCAAACGAGTATAAATCGTTTTACCAAAGACATCTGTGGTTGGGCATAGTGGCTCATGCCTGTGATCTCAGCACTTGAGGAGGCCAAGGTGAGAAGATTGCTTGAGGCCAGGAGTTTGAGACCAGCCTGGACAACATAGCAAGACCTCATCTCTACAAACAAACAAACAACACCGCATTTGTATGTTTATCGCAGCACTAGTCATAATAGCAAAAACACAGAACCAACCTAGGTGCCCATCAATGTCGGATTGGATAAAGAAAATGTGGTACATATATATCACGGAATACTATTTAGCCAAAAAAATAAAATCATGTCCTTTGCAGCAATATGGATGCAGCTGGAAGCCATCATTTCTAAGTGAATTTTCACAGAAACAGAAAACTGAATACTATATCATCTTACTTATAAGTGGGAACTAAACATTAGCCACACACAGGCATAAGGATGGGAACAGCAGACTCTAGGAACTACAAAAGGGGGGAGGAAGGGAGGGAGATAAGAGTTGAAAAATCACCCACTGGGTACCATGCTCACCACCTGGGGGTAGGCTCAATAGAAGCCCATACCTCACCATATGCAGTATATCTGTAACAAACCTGCGCATGTACCCCTTGAATCTAAAATAAAATAAAATTTTAAAAATTAAGTTTTCTCTATTTTAGGATTATTTATCTACATATATTCTCAGAAGGGAAATTATTGGGTACAAAAATGTTTACCGGCCGGGCTCGGTGGCTCAGCCTGTAATCCCGCGCTTTGGGAGGCCGAGGTGAGTGGATTGCCTGAGCCCGTGAGTTCGAGACCCGCCTGTGCAACTTGGTGAGACCTCATCTCTACAATAAAAATCAAAAAATTAACCGGGCATGATAGCACGCGCCTGTAATTCCAGCTACTTGGAAGGCTGAGGCAGAAGGATCGCCGGAGTCCAGCAGGTCAAGGCTGCGGTGGCCGGGAGTGGTCCCTGCACTCCAGTCTAGACGGCAGAGTGAGACTCCAACTCAAAAAAAAAAAAAAAAAAGTTTACCAGCCAGGTGTGGAAGCTCACATCTGTAATCCCAGTGCTTTGGCAGACTGAGGTGGGGGGATTGCTTAAGGCCAGCAGTTCAAACCAGCCTGGGCAATGTACCAAGACCTAGTCTCTACAAATAATAAAAATTAAAATGAGCCAGGTATGGTGGTAGACTCCTGTAATGGAGACTGAGGTGAGAGGATTGCTTGAGCTCAGGAGATTGAGGATGTGATGAGCTACGATTGAGTCACTGTGCTCCAGCTTGGGCAACAGAGAGAGACTGTCTCAAAAAAATGAAATTAAATAAATAAATAAAATATTTACCATCAGGCATTATAGTTATTCCAAATACTTGCAAATTTGCTAGATTAAATTTTAATTGGCATTTCTTTGATTATTAGTAAGTTTAAAGATTTTTCCATTTAATTGTCATTTTTATTTTCACTGACCTGTCTACTGGTGATATTTTTCTACTGAAATCTTTGTGTATTATCAAAAAGCGTGTTTTAAGTAGTACAGATTTTCTATAGGTGGCAGAAGTAAGTAATATGGTTAATTTGCTGTTGGGATATTCTGCTAAAGGATGCCCTATGTAAACTTTTAAAACATTTTTTAATTTCTTAATTTTAAAGATGTGGGGTACAATTCAGGGTTAGGTATACAAATGTTCATTATGCAGGTACCTTTGTTGATGAGGTGTGCCCCTCCCTCCCCTGGTAGTTTCCCTCAACTGCCAATCCCAACCCCTCTCCCCTGGCAGTTTCCCACTACTGCCAATCCCTTTCTTACAGTATTATGATCATTGTTCAAGGTCCACTTATGAGTGAGAACATATGGTACTCTGTTCTTTGTTTCTGTGATAGATGACTGAGTGTGATAGACTGTAAATCCATCCATGTAAACATGTTTTGTAGTGTAGTGTTTTGCTCTTATACATATATGTGTGTGTGTGTATTTTTTTTTTTGAATTGGAGTCTCACTCTGTCACCCAGGCCGCAGTGCTCTGACACACTCACGGCCACTCCAGTGTTGACCTCCTGGGCTCCTGTGATCCTTCCGCCTCAGCCTTCCAAGTAGCTGGAACTATAGACACGCGCTACCACACCCGGCTAATTTTTGATTTATTGTAGAGATGCGGTCTCGCCAAGTTACCCAGGCTGGTCTTGAACCCATGGGCTCAGGCAATCCACTTGCCTCTGGCTCCCAAAGTGTTGGAATTACAGGCTGAGCCATTGAGCCTGGCCTGCTCTCTATTTTGAAAAAGCAAATCTTTATGTCTTTTTTTCTAAGCCTGCAAAGCTCTTGATGTATATCTATTTTCTTTCTTTCTTTTATTTTCCTCCAGAGGTAAGAAAACAGGAGTTTATTAAGAAGACAAAAAAAAAAAAAGGCCGGGCTCGGTGGCTCAGCCTGTAATCCCAGCACTTTGGGAGGCTGAGGTGAGTGGATTGCCTGAGTCCGCGGGTTCGAGACCCGTCTGGGCAACTTGGTGAGACCTCATCTCTATAATAAATCAAAAAAATTAGCCAGGTATGGTAGCGTGCGCCTCTAGTTCCAGCTACTTGGAAGGCTGAGGCGGAAGCATTGCCGGAGCCCAGCAGGTTGAGGCTGTGGTGGCCAGGAGTGGCCACTGCACTCCAGTCTGGGTGACAGAGTAAGACCCCAACTCAAAAAAAAAAAAAAAACATCCAAGTGGAAGGGGACCTGAAAAAGGGTTGCAATGTATATCTTAATGTAAGACACTAAAATAATTTTTTTTTTGAGAGCTAACTTTTTTTCATTTTTATCTTTTAAAGGAGCTCCCACCTTACCTTGGCAAACTGGATGTCTCATTTCAAAAAGGTAATATTTCTCATTTGTGGCTTAAACATTTATGCTGAGAAACACTTATATGTTTTCCTATGATAGTAAATTCTTGCTAAAATTACTGAGTGACCTTATAGCTTGTTCTCTTAAGTCTTACAAATCTGAAACCTTGATGGTCATCTGACCCTGAAATGATCAGGCCCAAAGATTTAACTGGTTCATTCTGGTTAGATTCACTTGCAGTTAATATAAATCTGAACGCTATTAATAATTACAAGAAACTCTGGGGCCAGGCGCGGCAGCTCATGACTGTAATCTTAGCACTTAGGGAGACTGAGGTGAGAGGATTTCTTGGGCCCGGGAGTTTGAGACCAACCTAGGCAACATAGCGAGACCTTGTCTCTACAAAAATATCAAAAAATTAGCCGGACGTGGTGACGTGTGCCTGTAGTCCCAGCTACTCAGGAGGCTGAGATGAAAAGATCACCTGAGTCCAGGAGGTTTGATTTATTGTAGAGACACAGTCTCGCCAAGTTACCCAGGCTGGTCTTGAACCCATGGGCTCAGACAATCCACTTGCCTCTGGCTCCCAAAGTGTTGGAATTACAGGCTGAGCCACTGAGCCTGGCCTGCTCTCTTATTTTGAAGAAGCAAATCTTTATGTCTTTTTTTCTAAGCCTGAAAAGCTCTTGATGTATATCTTTGTAAGCCATGATAGTGCCACTGCTCCAGCCTGGACGACAGCGAAACTCTGACTCAAGAAAGAAAAAAAAGGAAGAAGAAAGAAAAAACTCTATTATTAGGGAAATCTTGGACTTCCAAAGCTTCAAATTCTAGAATATTACCATAATTTATAGTAGTCATCCATCAAAAACATAATAAATAATAAATGAAAATAAGTAGAAAGGACCCCTTTTAGATCCTTTTTGGGTCTGTAACATTTTATTCTGTCATTTAGCTGTTCCATATTTTAAATGACTGAAGAGACTTCTGCCACTCAAATAAACCATTTCCTAGTTATTTTCACTTAGCAGTTTTCTTTTGAAGGAACGTTTCTCACAAAGAAACACATCCCTTGACCTAATTTGTTAGTCATTGCCTGTTAGAATGGAAAATACCTGCTGGGCTCTGTGGCTCAGCCTGTAATCCTGCGCCTTTGGGAGGCTGAAGTGAGTGAATTGCCTGAGCCCGCGGGTTCAAGACCCACCTGGGCAGGTGAGACCTCATCTCTACAATAAATCAAAAAATTAGCCGGGCATGGTAGTGCATGCCTGTAATTCCGGCTACTCAGAAGGCTGAGGCGGAAGGATTGCCGGAGCCCAGCAGGTCGAGGCTGCGGTGGCCGGGAGTGGTCACTGCACTCCAGTCTG